AACCCGCAGAGATGGCAGGCGGACGAATCAACCGTTCTGACGCTTCCGGCTGTCACGAAGCGATACAAGCTACGCGTTCGCCAGGCGTCGTGCTACTGCTCGAAGTGTAGTGTTGGAGCTTACGACGACTGCGTCCCGGCCAAGAAGTACGAGGGGATGGTGGGTATGGTGAAGGCTGTGTCGGGCAAGCACAAGGTTACTCGGGCGTCTTGTGGTGTAGGGAATTGAGGGGTGTCCGTGGTGCACGTCATGTTCTCGTGTTTGGCGCCTTGTTCTCTTCCATGTTCTTTTGTTTTTTTGGGTATTTTTGGTGCAGTTTTTGTACTTTTTTTGTTGCTGTGTGCTGTTTGTTGCATGTTGCTGTTCATATGCAGCGGCAGGTCGTCTCCCTTTGGCGGTTTGGGATATCAAAGAAGGGTTTCCAGCAGGAGAAAACAAATATTTGCCGGCGTCTGGCTGATACTTTCACGGTTTGTCGCCGAAATGGGCTGTCTTTTTCTATATATATAATGCACAACATACATTATTTTCAAGCACGTCGGTGAAATAAATGTCCACACATGTAATACAGGGTATTTGTGGTCAATCTCCGTGGTTGTACGCATCAAATCGCCTAAAAAAACGAGCTTGAAATGGCCTTAAAAACACGTTTTATCGCCGTTTTTCCAAAGGGGGGGACGTTTTAGCCCCATCCCCGTTTTTTTTTAATACATTCTGCAGTATAAAACACTACATATCGCTGAAACCTCAATATCCCGACGTCGGGTACTCAATTTAACCCGCGGAACTGGGCCTACACCCCACCAAAGCACCCTGACACACTTTTTGGAGCTTTAGTCTTCGGGGAACATCATCAACTGGACCGCTCGACACTCTAGCGCGGAATGCGCCCCTAGTAGCCGTTTAGAAATCGGCCGTAGCCGATTGAAAATCTGCTACAGGCAATCCTAATTCGGCTGAGCCCTGGCCAAAATCGGCCGCTTTGTTTGAAAAATCGGCCGTTTTTTTCTTGGCCGTTTTCCGGCCGAAATTTCCAGAAATCGGCTCTTTCGGCCGCGGCCGATGGAGCAAAGGCCTCAAAACGAGCATCTCTTTCTATCGGAGATCGCTTCGACTTTTCCGATAACAAGAAAAAAAATCAGCGGGTCGGAAAGGGCCGTAGACGCAGCAGCAAGCATTCTTTGCGGTCTGATGAGTGCACAGCAGGGTCATCAAGGGATAATGATGCAATATGGAAGACTTGCCCACAGCTTCTGCGTGTCGCTGTTGTACTCAAAAGAAAAGAAAGGCCTAGTTGGTCATTGTAACGTTGTGACGTTTTCCCAACAAGCTCAACGACAAAACAACCCACAGCAAGTAGCAACGTGTTTGACTCGAAGAGCCCCGCGAACCCAATGAACAATAACCTGTTTGAGTGCAGTCTATGAGTGCATAGAACTCACCCACCCGCAGTTGAGAAACGGTAGGCTATTATTTCACGAACAGTATAACAGGTTGATTGAGAAGCATAGCTCACAAGTGGCCCAGGTGCACATAATATGCACCCATTGCAAAACGGCGAAAAAACCGCACTCTACTTTCAGTGAATACAACGTTCCAGGTTGGTTACCCCGGTGGCATAACCTGGCCAGGTCAGGCAAGCATACAAAGCATAACCTCTGGGGTTAGGGAAATCCTTGGTTCACAACGTCGCCAGTTTGTGCCCTCTGATCATGTAACGTTGTTCTGCCCGCTCGGGACAAACGTTCGCAGCCGGATAACAAGTACCAGGTTTGTTTGTGTTCTTTTGTATTAGTTTGTCGTTCGTTCATGTGTTAGCGCGTATTGCACATGTGCAAGTTCCCGTGCGGCAACACCGTTGTGAGCGCATGACACCCCGGCAAAAAACAAACCACAGCCTTCTCTGCAGACACAAAGAAACGACGCCTCAAACCAAGGTTGGATCATGATTTACTCGACAAACGCAAGGTCCCAGGAACCACAATCGTGGCCCGTGCTTCGTTTAGGATGTGTCTTATCGACAGAATCAAGATCAGAAATCGAAATCAAAAATCAGTTTAAGTCCTGGAAGAGCCAACGAACATCTGCTGTGATTGGATGGAATAACTTTCCACCTGTCCGTCGGAAGCATTTGGATGGAGACCGCACGGAATCTTCCTATGCTTAAACTCGAACTCAAATAAATGCAAAAACATTAAAATCGATGTCGACTTTTGCGAACAGCGCACGTGGCGGGCTATTGGGTGTGTAGGGGCCGGGTTTTTGTGCCGATTTGACACATCGAGGACCACGCCTTGGCATCTTGGCATGTTGAGGACACCCACCACTCACGCGCGAGCGGCAGTAAGCAGAGGAGACGATGTCACAGCCTGGGGCAAACGGTGACGGGCGGTACTACAACGCGTAGGTGTACCAGCTCCTCCGCTCGCGGCGCACGAAATTATCCCGGGTCTGAGGGGGATCGCCTTCGTCCATGAGCACCATTATCATCAGCAGCTCCAGGAGCTGTCTCATGCGCTTCTTTGTCTTTCCTCGCAGCCATGAGCGGCGGCTGGCAGGAGCGCGAGCCATTCTTTTGGGATGAGGCGCGACGCTGCGGACGTCGTGTCACGGAACTGGCGGGCTGTTCGCCGCTTGAAGTGGGCGCTTCAACGTGATTCTCAATTTCGATTTTGATTTTGGTGGTTTCTCGATAAGACACCGCGGGCGAATTTGGGCGACTCTTCAGGACTTCAACTGATTTTTGATTTCGATTTCTGATCTTGATTCTGTCGATAAGACACATCCTTAGGGCACGCACTACGCAAAACAGATTGTACGTGTACACGCGAGAATTACGGCGGAACGAGGGTGGACAAGATGACCGCGGCTTCCCGATCAAAGAAACATGCTGACGTCAAAGACAGCAGTGATACCTAGCCCCACACACCCATGAGCGACTCCACACACGTTTCCCGACCGGCTCATCACTTCTCGACCTCCTGCGCAAACAAGCAATTGCACCAAGGAAGCCAAGAGAAGAAGAAAATTCCATGGTCCTGTAGACTAGCCGGTACGAGTGAGGAAACACGCCCCGGTAGACACTTCTCCGCGTGTACTATACGGTCCGAAGATCGACCGATTGCCAAAACAAAAAAAAAACACCTACAGAGTAGGCCTTAACAAAACGATGGTCGTCGTGCCCCTTCCCCGAGGTGTGAGCATGTCACAGATGTCAGCGAATCGAAAAACCACGCCAACGCGGGCTAAAAGTCACCGCCCGAGGTTGAAGCTTTCAACAACACGTAACACCCTTTAAGCTGCAGCCCCCCCCCCCCCCCCCCCCCCCCCCCCCCCCCCNGCCCCGGTAGACACTTCTCCGCGTGTACTATACGGTCCGAAGATCGACCGATTGCCAAAACAAAAAAAAAACACCTACAGAGTAGGCCTTAACAAAACGATGGTCGTCGTGCCCCTTCCCCGAGGTGTGAGCATGTCACAGATGTCAGCGAATCGAAAAACCACGCCAACGCGGGCTAAAAGTCACCGCCCGAGGTTGAAGCTTTCAACAACACGTAACACCCTTTAAGCTGCAGCCCCCCCCGCCCCCTTGCCGCCCTCCCTGACCCACTTTTCCCCAGCTCCCCCAGGCTCCACACAAAATCCCGACCAACGTACCACCCGAACAATCGGACTTTTCACGATGCAAACAAGCAACGGCGCACGCAAAGTGCTCCGGTGCGAGTGACGGCACGCCATCGTCAACACCCGTTCCGTTTGCACATACGATATGGTCTGGATATTGACCGGAGACATAAAAAAATAGGGCGTTGACATGCTCCCCATCCCCAACCATCGAAAACAAGCGCCGCGACGGTACCGCCTAACCGATGCCAGAAAACCGAAGNCCCCGAGGTGTGAGCATGTCACAGATGTCAGCGAATCGAAAAACCACGCCAACGCGGGCTAAAAGTCACCGCCCGAGGTTGAAGCTTTCAACAACACGTAACACCCTTTAAGCTGCAGCCCCCCCCGCCCCCTTGCCGCCCTCCCTGACCCACTTTTCCCCAGCTCCCCCAGGCTCCACACAAAATCCCGACCAACGTACCACCCGAACAATCGGACTTTTCACGATGCAAACAAGCAACGGCGCACGCAAAGTGCTCCGGTGCGAGTGACGGCACGCCATCGTCAACACCCGTTCCGTTTGCACATACGATATGGTCTGGATATTGACCGGAGACATAAAAAAATAGGGCGTTGACATGCTCCCCATCCCCAACCATCGAAAACAAGCGCCGCGACGGTACCGCCTAACCGATGCCAGAAAACCGAAGAAACACACCGGTCGTTTCGCCGGCCTGTTGAAGAAGATGTTCGCCACGCCGTCGTCGCGCTGACGTGAACTCTTCCCTCATGTGACTGAAACATATGCAGGTAGTTCAAAACAAGCAAACCGGGGACGGTGTCATCGATCGGCCCAGGAATTCGGTTTCGGAACCGATAGGGTATTTATTGCAGACGATCGGCCGACAACCATGAATTTGAGTGTCGATTGAGGACTTGGGCTTGAACGATCAAATATCTCGCAAAGTTCAAACACACTCCAGTGGAAATGGGTTACCTTCTCACATGATAGGGGTACTGACAATAACTTGCATTGGCTGCTTCCCGGGACGTACTCCGGCTCGGTGCCGTTTTCCTGATCGCTCTGGACGGACTCTTCATCGCTGCCCTCATCTCCACCGCTGCCCTCGTCTCCACCGCCACCCTCCTCTCCACCGTTACTCATCTTCACCGCTGCCCTCCTCGTCGTCACCGCCAGCGTCCCTCATGTCGCCGACGCCGTTGTCGTGGGTGGCGGCCGTTCCAGCGTCTTCGCCATCCAGAACGAAGTTGGCGTAGTTGTAAGGAAAAAAAACTCCTCGGCGACTTCCAGCCAGCATTCGTTAGCTGCGGCAGTTAGTCCCGAGCTTCTTGGACGAAGCCGAGCATCATGACCTTGAACCTGTGATGAACCTGTGATGCATATGGGTTGGGCGAGACGATAGAAGAAACGTCAGCGGCTGGAATGCTGAGCCGAAAAACCTAGTTGCGGAAGGACAAGTCCGGGATTGCTGCACCGCTGCACCCTTCCTGAATGGAGGTTCAGGACATGCACGACCCAAAAAATTACCTCGTGATACCCCTCTTCTACCAGGAGTATCAAGCCGCACTTGCTCAACATCAGACTATTAAAAGTGTACAAAGGCAACACGATTCGAGGGTTTGTCTTACCGAGCGAGGAAGGCCTCGTGATGTTTGTCGCCCCCGCCCGGGGGAAGCT